TTGATTGCTCGAGGTTGGCCTGCTATTGTTGTATGCTCTCTCGCACTCGTCATACTTCAATGTTTGAATAGGAAAGAGTTTACTCTATTCCACTTCATTTCACGTAGTAACCGTCGTAGAGATTACACTACGATAGAGTGGCTGCGATATCAACGACAAGCTTTACGTTGACGAGAGAAGATGACGTGCTACAACTGCGGTCTCCACGGGCATTTCTCGCAGGAATGTCCTCATCCACGTCGAAATGTGGCCACAGGTGCGAATACGGTGCCCTTGGCTAATACGACTCCGCTCTTGGCTCTGCCTTCGTCCACAACCAGCGCTGTGGCTCAGACACCGGCATCAGTGACGACTGGTGGCACCTTTCAGACGCAGCCAGCAGCTCAGCACTTCGGGACGGCACCGAAGCCAAATTGGTGGCGGCAGAACCAAAATATGCTTGAAGATATGTATGGCTTCTATAAGGAACTCAAGTCGAAGGCGCAAATGGACCAAGAGAAGCTTGTCGAGGAAAGGAAGGAAAAAGAAGCGCAGGAAGAGCTCGAACGTAAGAAGAAAGAAAGGGCGGAGTTGGCTGCGGACGTGGGAGCTAAGATTGATCAACGCTTGGCTTTCGTCTGCGATGCACTGTTGAATCGAACAGGGGAGGTGGGAAGGATAGACGGGGCGAGTACAAGCAAAGGGTCGCAGGCGGATGAAGCGGCTAGGCTGCAAAAGGAAGTTACCGAGTTGTGGGCCAAACTCTTCTCGGAGAAGCCGAGCACGGATGAAAGTTCTGAGTTGGATAGGCTTAGAAAGGAGATCGAAGAATTGAAAAAGTTGGCGTTCAGTAAGCTTTCGATCGATCCTGTTGAAAGTGAAATCAAGAGGTTGAAGGAGGATATCGAGATACTGAAGAGGAGTAAGGAGACTACAAGTGATAAGTCAGATTTGGAGAAACAACTGGAAGAATTGAGGGAGCATGTGAAAAAATTGAGAAAGGAGAAAGAATTATCGGAGGAGGAGGCGCAGCAATGGAGGGGTGAGGCTCTTCGGCCAGGCAATAAACGTGATAGCATAGCCATCAGCACACCACAGAGTGAGTCACAAGGGAGGTCTAAATCAAGGTCGGTAACCTCGCCGAATGATCTCGAAAAATTACGAGAGCAATTTCAAAGGTTAAGGGAAATGCAGCAACTGTCATTCGTGGAGGTGAAGCTGCTGAAGGAGAAGCGTGCCGAGGCGGAGGCTAGACGAATGGCTGCGGAGAAAGAGGCTGGTCTGCTCAGGGAACAGGTTGACCTGCTGAAGTCACCGCAGTTAGGGGGCACAAACTTGCGGAATCGTCTGGAGCAGGTGGCAGTCGGTAGCACGCAAGGAAAGAAGAAAGGGTTGGTAGGAAGGCCGTGTGCTTCGACCAGTAAAGCTGCAGCGGTCAACGATCGGCACGTGTTTCTTGCCGAAGAGAAGAAGCGTCTGCGTGCTTTGAAGAAGGGTGGGTTGGTGCCCTTGTGTACAGACGAAGGGATTCTGTACAGGACGGTCGAGCAAGCGGTTGAGGAGATAGCGGAGCTTCGTGCAAACAGAATGTTTGGTGAACCTCACAAGGGGTATGGGACAAGATCTAAGGTGGGAGACGAGCAAGAAGAGCACAATGCTGGAAAAGGTAAGGAGCAGGTGACCGACGAGCCGGAGACGTTGGTCGAAGTGATACCGTCGGACTCAGCTTAGGGGCGTCTCCCGAACGTGGCCGAGTTATGGAGTTTGGCTTGGAGGTGTCATCAATTGCGTGCTGTTTCTATACCTTCTTCTGTCAACGATGGCTTGGTGAATTCTATTTTCGTCTTGGTCGTAATCTTGCTGATTCTGCAGCACCAAATCCCTTGGGGTGTGAAGTATCTGTCCAGTCTGCTGAAACTAATTAGAGAGGATTTTGATTGGATTGGTTGTCCTGGACCGCTCGTCTATGTTTTAATCTCCCCCTGGTCTCGACACACATATGTGGGCTGCACTGGGCGTCCATTGAGAGCGAGATGGCGGGAACATGTGTATCGAACTTGCAACGAAGGTGTTATCTGGAAAGGAGGTCGAAATCACCACGTGTATGGATGGCTTCGCAGGAGTGGGATTGAACAGTATGTGGCACTGCCCATCGGAGTATGTGATGCCCGGGAGCTATTCTCGTTGGAGAGATTCATGATTAGGACAACCTGCCCGTACCTGAATAGTCGTGATAAGCCGAGGCGGCATCGAAAATGCCGACCAGGACGAAGGGAAAGGAAAAGGTTCGGTAAGACGCGTGGGGGACGGGAGGCGTTGACTGATAAGGGCTCTCACCTGACTTTCCGAACTACTGATGGGCAAGAGTCATGTAGTATCCTTAGGCTTCTCAATGAATGTAGGGAAGAGGGGAAAGATTCGCTTGCGTTGCTATGCAAGGGTGACAGGTTGTTTGTTGATAAATGGAAGATCGTGCGACGTTGTTTCAGTAGCACGGTTATCAGAACCCGATTCGGTAGGGAACAACTGAGGAAGTCGAAAGGGTGGTTCGTGGATGGTATGGTCATCCTCTTCGAAAAAATTCCGTACTTCTGCTCTAGTCTCGCTGCCTATAAGCCCACTCTGGCTATGTTGTTGAGTGATCCGGGTAGCCGGAAGTTGCTATACAGCTGGCAGTTCGAGGAGTTGATTCGGAGTTATGGAGCCATAAGGAGTTTTTTCGGAAAAAAGGACCAGGGGTACACTCAGATGTATCTTGTCTGGAGTAATCGGGAGGAGGTTTGGTTTAAACGTGAGGGAAAGATTGGTGGTAAGAATGGTATTTGATGACAGAATCAATAAAGCGAAGGTACGAGAGCTGTGTGCAATGAAGGTGAGAGGGTTGGAGATACCGAGTGTGTGGAAGGAAATGGTAATTAGGAGGATGAGGGTGGTGTTTACGGCAAACAAAGGTGTCGGGGGGCTTCTGCATAACTTTCGAACGGCAGCCAAAGTGGAGGAGGTGACCTGTACCTGTACCAATTCGTCTGAGGATCTGCCGAGAGTGGACGGGCATGTTTTGTTCAGAACAAATGAATTGAAGGGGGCCCCGACTTGGCTGAAGAACTCAAGGAATGTGCTCCGGCCTACCTCTGCTGATACGGGTGCCGCTCTGCAAAGACAAATCATAGCGTCGTTCAGGAAGGCCCGATCTCTGCCAGCAGTGCAAGTGAAGAATACCGCCTGGAATCCTGTGTCTGCATGGGTAGGGACAATGGAAGGGGAACCTGTTCCATGGCTGAAATGGATGAATGGCTGGAAAGGTTTGACGGATTGGTAAGAACCCCAATCGACCACAAACTGGGCGACACTCTGGTGTGCTGCCCTACGGTATATCGGAAGGGCATGGAGAAGTTGTTTCTCAGAAACGAGGGGCTGACTCGGGTAGAGGAGGACGAGCAGGGGATATTAGACAGCATGAAGGCAAAATACAAGGAAGAAGGATTCATGAGGTTGGGAAAGTGGAACAGTAAAGGTAAAATGGGAAATGGATATGTGTTACCTAAACATAAGGACGTGGGCCGTTGGAGACCCATTTGTCCTGCTCGTACCGAAGCCTGTGTGATCGCTGGAAAGAGAATAGCCTATGGTGTTAACATTCTGTTGTGGAAGCTTCCTGAGGTGTCACACTTTAACATGCGCAGTACCAACGAGTTGGCAGAAAGGTTGGCTGGGATCAATAAAAGCCTTCGTGAAGGGGAGAGTTTTTTAGGGGCATCGTTCGACGTGAAGGAGATGTTTTGCAACTTGCCCCATGATGCGGTGCTGGAGGCTGTTGATTGGGTAACGGACTATTGGGCTTGCAAGGGTTATCGGAGTGTGGTTGTGAAAAGGAGGGGTAAGGAGGCGAGGGTAAGGAAGGGGGTCATTCCATTGGGATTCATGGATATCCCCTTTCGGCTGTTACGGCGGTATGTGGCTTTTGAACTGGAAAACACCTTCGTGAAGGCCTGTGGCAGCACCTACAGGCAGGTGGTGGGAATTCCTATGGGAAAACCCTCCAGTCCAGCCCTCGCTTGTCTTTTGTGTGCGTACTATGAGTTCTCCTTCCGCTCTTCCCTGGGGTGTGACAGACGTTTGGTGAGAGGGGTAAGAATCGTGGATGATGTGTCAATTTTCATCCGCTACGTTGAGGGAGATGAGTCCTCTCTCCTGCGGGCGAAGGAGATCCTTGGGCTGTTTGAGAACTGCTACAATAAGAATTTAACGTTGGAGAGAACGAGCGCTGGCAACCACTGGGATTTTCTGGGCTGTGTGCTGAAGGACTGCAGAACGCCGCTGGGGGTTGTGTGCGTGGCTATGCATAAGAACCAAAGATGGGTGAGGGATAACAGGATACAGTTTCAGAACATGCAGGACTTCTGCAGTTTTACCAGTCGGCAGCAAAAGATTGCAGTCATTGGGGCGTGTCTACATCGGGCGAAATGTTTCACCACGCTGCCTGGGGCCGAGGTGGCTTTCCTGTTCACACTCAAGATGGAGCTGTGGATGAGAGATTTCCCGGACGAGTACTTCGATGGAGCCTTGCGGAATTTCTCTAAGATGTTTGGAGGCATTTGGGACGATTGGGTACAGTGCCTGACTGGTTGGGACCAGATCACGAAAGGGAGATTCCCGCATGTAGTTTTAGGATRAAGTTTGGGCTTGACACTGTTGTACGTGGATAGGACAGTTTCTTGATCGCCCGTCTGGTTCCTTGTCTTGCATGGGTCCCCCTGTTTTTTCTCCTTCTCGCTTCTCTTCCCTTTCGTTGTCTGTTTCTCCCCCTTCCTCTCTTTCTCTTTCCTTCTCTTTCTTCCTCCTCTTCCTCCTCTGTTGCCCCTCCTCGGAGTACTGGGTCGACTGGGGAAATTGGTTGCATATCTGGGGGAACTGGGTTGACGGGCATTTAGGTGCCRCTGGCTAAATATCTGGGGGGACTGGGTTGGCTTGTCTGTCTTTCGTTCCAGTCTCCTGTTTGGCCCTGTCCTGGGTCTGCTTGTTTTTTCCATCTGATACCCCCCTCACCMCCTCCCTTTTTTCCCCCCTCTCTCCCCCCATTGGCTCGGGCTGAATCAGGCCTCGCCTGTATTTTTCTGTTTTTCTCGCTCAGTGAACTGGGGCCGAAATGTTGTTGGTCAGGGTGAACCGCCGTATGGACTTGGGTTCTGAGATTTCTGGGTTTTTCTGTCTTCCGTACTTAGTGGACTAGGGTGAAAATGATTGTCGGTCAGGGTGAATCGATGCTTGGACGTGGGTTTTGGAAAAAGTCTCGGAAACGCGACGAGGGTCTGTAGTGTTCTGACTTTTGAGCGGCTGCTTGTTCTAGAAGTTGACGTCGATTTTGGCGCTGTACGTCTCTCCTCTCTTCGACTACTTAGTTTAGGACGACGATCACCGCGGCCTCATTTCGTGGCTGTTTAAAGACCCCTGAAGATGGCCGGAGTAGCGCACGGCCGAAACTAGTCGGGTCGCGCTACCCATCCGTAGTCAGACTGTCGGCAATGCCGATGGACATGAAGACGACRGTTTGGTTAAAGGGTTTCTGCTCGGGCTGTATATTTTTCGAAATCCTTTAAAGTCGCGTTCGGGATATGTGGTGATCGTGTTCTCWACCGRCCTTCTTCTTTGCCGGGGTTGCAGTCCGGATATTCTTCAATGTTCGTCCCCTCTGCTCTTCTCCCTCCTGCTTTTTCTTTTTCTTCTTCTTTCTCCTCTTCCCTCTCATTTCTYTGTCTGTCTCTCTCCCCCTCTACTCTTTGATTGCTCGAGGTTGGCCTGCTATTGTTGTATGCTCTCTCGCACCTGTCTCTTATACACATCTAGATGTGTATAAGAGACAGGATCGTGTTCTCTACCGGCCTTCTTCTTTGCCGGGGTTGCAGTCCGGATATTCTTCAATGTTCGTCCCCTCTGCTCTTCTCCCTCCTGCTTTTTCTTTTTCTTCTTCTTTCTCCTCTTCCCTCTCATTTCTYTGTCTGTCTCTCTCCCYCTCTACTCTTTGATTGCTCGAGGTTGGCCTGCTATTGTTGTATGCTCTCTCGCACTCGTCATACTTCAATGTTTGAATAGGAAAGAGTTTACTCTATTCCACTTGCTGTCGTTGAAGAAGTTGAGGTGGTCCCCCTCGAGTGTTGGCCAAAAATGGACCCAAAATTCTTTGGATAGGCCGTCGATGCCTGGAGCCTTCTCATTTCCCATTTGGGTTAACGCAGTATGAAGTTCACTCATGGTGATTGGTTTGTTGAAACCGGCGTGATCGTCCTGTCCACGTATGACATCATGCATTGGCGGCTTCCATGTTTGTGGGAGGATGGGAGGGTGTTTTGGACTCATAGAGGTCTGCATAGGAAGACCTGCCTATTCTTACCATGTCTGTGCCGGCTGATTTGACCATTCCTTTGGCTTGATGGATCTTTCAATTTTTTGATCATGTTATTTCTAGCGTTGGCTTTGATTTTGGCAAAGACGTCGAGTGTGTAATCTGTCATCCTGGCTCGCAGTTGCAGGCCTCTCAGTTCCCATCTTCTCCACTCATTGAGCTCCTCTCTAGAAGAGTTGAGTAGGTCATAGTAAAAGTTGTTCGTAGGGTCTGTTGTGAGATTAGCCTCAGCAATTGTTATTGCAATTTGAAGTTCCTCCTTTCTGATTTTTCGTTCACCTGCTATCCTTCCTGACTTGGCTGAAATAGTCTGAGTCAGGTCGCATAGCTGTCTATGAACCATTGGTGTCTGTACCGTCATCTCGCCTCGTCCTGTTTCATTAGGAGCCAATTCCATTTGACCGCTTCTGACATGCGATCTGTGGAGATGAGGGGGTTGTTCAATCTGTAAACGCCATGTCCTTTTTTTACTGGGGAATTGAAATTTAGGAGCAGCTTGATGGGTTTTTGATCCAGCCCCTTGAAGGCAGCTACGGGCATAATTTTGGCCTCCTTTACTGTTCCTTGGAAGAGTTTGGAAATTAGGAAGAAGTCTATCCACGAGAGCGATGTTCGGTTGGCCCAATTTCTTTTTACGAGGGAGAAGGCCTTCGCCTGTGGGTGGAGGGTTCTGAACGGGTCGATAAGTTCGAACTCCGTCATGATGCTCCGTAGATGGGTTCCTGATCGTGTAGGGTCCAATAGCAGGGACCGTGAGATACGATCAAGATTGGGGTCGAGGGTCGTGTTCCAATCTCCTGCTATAATCACGGGTAGGGGATTCGGAACAAGTGGTTTAATGCTGTTGAAGAAATTCAATCGCTCATTTTCTGCATTAGGTGCATAGATGTTTTGACGGTTGGGAAAATAGGGAGCCTTAGGTGGGCCTCCACCTTTTTAGGACGCCGAAACGAAACGACGGCCGCCGATGAGATTTATCAACGCCGGCCATCGTCGGGCCCAGCCCCCGACTTTTGGGAGTTTGGAAAACTGCCAGTTTTCCCTGTTTTCCCAACCGTTAAAGGTACTAGTGGTTCAATGTTCTCAATTCCGTCGGGCCCATCCCTCTTGCCACCGTACATCGAGCCAAGACCGTCTGCCTTCTGCAGCGTCTCCTCCCCCATTAGGAATCTGTCCTTCTGGCAACATCTTAGAGATGCGCAGTATGAGAATCGTTGTTACTCCTTTGCTCAGGCTATCTTTGTTAGACCATATGGTGAATGCACAACCTCCCAAGCTTTTTTCGACAGTATTTTTAATGTTTGCATGGTCTGTGAGGTCCGATAGGTGGGTTTCTTGAAGTAGAACCGCGTGGGGTTTTGCCCTGTTCTTGTCTAATAGGCCTATCCGAATATCCCGAAGTTGGTCCTCCTCAGTCAGTACGTTTCCGAGGCCTCTGGCGTTCCAACTGTGGATTGTCAGACGCTTGGTGTTGCATACTGTAACGTGCAGACCAGAACAAGAACCGACCTTTCAATACAAAGTACAAGATAACACAGCGGAAGACTTAGATACCAGTGATCCGAACAATCAATGTTGTAA